GTGGGGGTGGGGGTGGGGGTCGCCCGGCGGAGTGAGGGGAGCGGCCCGCCCGTTTTTTAAACTTCCGTTTGTTCTTCTACATCCGCCGCAGCGTTGATTTGGCATGGGCATACAGATCCTCCTCGCCGCCGTTCTCGCCGCATCCGCGCCGCGCACACGGCGCAGTGCACTTGTCCCACGAACTCGCTTTGCACTCTAAAGATTCTACGAACAGTTCACCTTTGTAAGATACGAACAACTTTGGGCCTTTGTAAGTACGAACAAAAGAGTTTGTAGTACGAACAACTGTTCACTGTAGATGGCAATGCCTTCATCGTAATGATGTTGGCACACACATACGAATAGGTATGTTCGTAAGAACGAATAAGTATGTTCGTAAGAACTACTGGAATGCACCAAAGAATGAAACGAAAACATATGTAGAATGCACGCTCTGCTAATCTTAGTGCGTAGTAGTTTGCCAGTTTAAACTGCAAAACTTTTTAGTTTCGCAGCAACAACTAGCAAACTATTTGTTTTGATCCTATTCCTCTTGTTTTTTAAATAATAACTGTTAAACACTTCAGCTTTAGTCACTCAGTTTGTTATTTGGGATGTTGTATCCACAATCAGCTGACAGTCATCATCCTCTCATAAAAAAGTACATTTCTGGTCCCAGGCCTATTTGCATAATGCATGCAGTTTAATTTGCCTACCTTTAACTTGATCCTCTGCCTCTCTGCTTTTTCTCCACTGGATGGGATTGTTGTGATTGGTCATCTCACAGCACTCATCTCATTGTTTCTGTCTACTTTCACCACAACTATGATAATAATTCACTACATCAAGGTCTCGGAAAACACAGTAAATTTATTTTTAGTCCCCTCCTAACACAAATGTTCATCATAAATTGTTTGGAGGGTTTGGAGGGTGGCTGACACCTGTTGGGAAATAGGCCCAAAACCAGTTTAACCTCAACATCACGGAGCATCTTTTCTTCGTTTGCTCTCTCGCTCGGACACAAAGCTTGGACTCAGGAATTTCTTGAGAACGATCACCAATAATCACAAGGAGTATAAATCCAAAGTAATGGCTGAATATGTGCAGCACGACACTTGTCATGACTTATTTCTGGTTGGAATAACACAATTTACTTTCACACTTTCTGTTGCTTTCTGGCTGTTTCGAAGTTTCGAGGTGGGGGTTGTTTGTTTGCGGTGTTTCGTTTGTTTTTTGTTTCCCTTCCGCCACCCTTCCTCCCTTCCTCCCTCCCTTCCTTCCCAAAGGAGGACATTCTAACAAACTGCTGCCAACGACGGTGGCGTAACCTGCAGGCCAATCATCAAAACAAGAAGAAGGGTCTTGCAGACGGCAAACTCTCGACATTCCTTTGTTTTGTTTACGATGCATCAGACTCACTTTTAGGTTACTTTCCTAGGCTATTATCATGTCAATTGTAGACAATCGTTCAAAATCCAGGAAGTTTTGCTCAGTGTTTGGTTGTCGAAGCAGAGGTGGTGGCATGTTTAAGTTTCCAAGTGATCCCAAATTGCAAAATGAGTGGAGGAATGTTTGTAAACTCATTAGGACGGTATCATCCACAATGTACGTATGTCGTCGTCATTTCGCCTCCTCTGATTTGTACCAAACAAGTAAGTGCGTCTTTTTTTCGTTTTTCTGTTACTTGTTTTAACAGAAGTATGCCAGAGTATGATTAAAGATTTTAACTTATCACTGTCTTTTTTCTTTCTTTTTCAGCTATGGGTTTAACTCGTGTGCGTAGAGGTGCCAAACCATCTCTGCATTTGCCTACTTCAAGTCCTGTGAAATTGAAAGCTAAACAGTTGTGTGTTGTGTATGGATGTGAAACTAATAGAGATGAGACAATGGATGGAACGTTTCACTCCTTCCCCCGTGATGCTGGTCGAAGAACATATTGGCAGTTGGTCTGCAGATTGATGCGAACTACTCGTAACACAAGAATTTGTAATCGACATTTCCGTGATTCAGACTTCTCTTTGAATGGTATTTAATTGCTTATTTAATTATGATGATGGATATCTTCTTTCCCTTTTTATTTTCACGTATTTTCTTTTTCATCAGGCTGTAGCAAGATTCTAAAACGATCAGCACGGCCTTGTCTGCAACTGCCAGACTGCAGTAATGCAATAACTATAGATCGTACTGAAGATATTTTGAATGCTTTACTTCCTACTAATTGTCAAGAATCCATGTGTACAATTCATAGTGCTTATTCTTCCTGTGAGACCCAGCTGCTTACTGACCAAAAGTTATTTAAAGAGAATTATTGTGAACAAATGTTTAGTGTTAATCAGATTTTCCAATGCTCTGCAGCTGCCAACAATGCTGATGATTCACTTGAATGTGAAATGCCTTTCAGTTGCATTGAAACTAAGATGTCTATGGCTCAAACAGAATGTTCAATTTTATTAAAGTTAAATGTAAATTCTCAGCTATCATCTCTCATTGGAGTTTCTCTTTCTTTACTTGAGTCCTTATCAATAATTTCTTTAGATTTACTAATGGATTCAAACTGTTCTTTTCTCTCTATGAAAATGAGAATTTCAATTACTCTTTGCAAACTGAAATTGAATTCCAGTTTTACTTATTTGAGTAGTCTGTTTGGAGTTGATTCCTCAGAATGTATAAAATACTTTGTACAAACTCTACCTTTGCTAGCCAAAGTTTTGAAATGTTCTCTTTATTGGACAACCAAGGATGAAGTTAGAGATAACATGTCAAAATATTTTGTGGAATATCATGATCTGAGACTTGTCCTTGATTGCATAGAGCTCTCATTCTCATCTGAGTGCATAGACTGCACTTCTCATTTGCACTGTTTTACTCAATGCAAGGGCATGGTTAAAACATTAATTGGTATTGCTCCATGTGGACTCATATCTTTTGTCAGCCAGACCCATGCTAGTCAGATTTCATATTCTCAAATATTTAAGAGCAGTGAACTTTTTTCTAAAAATCTTATTGATCCTTATAATGATGCTATAATAGTTAACAATGCTCTTGGCATTCATGATCTCTGTAGTGAAATGGCTTTTAGAGTTCTTTGCCCTTCTTCATTTAACTTTAATTTTGACAGCAATGTTACAGAAGCAAATGTGACGTCAAATGTAAGCTTTGATGCCTTTGTTAGAGATGTTAAGGAAAGACTTTCAGTGTTTCAAATTCTCAAGATGAAATTGCTTCCTTGTTTAATCCCCTTTGCTAATGATATAATCATTGTTGTCACAGGTATTGTGAATCTCACATCACCTCGGAAATGAGTAGCTTTATTTAAGCTTGCAAACTCAAGGTACAAAGATTTGTCAAAATAACATCAAAGTTAAATAAATCATTGTCAAAATTTAGTCAAATTTATGTCAACTGATCTGAGAATGACATAATTTCAGATAGTTAAGATAGCTAAATTTTGATGTCAGTTTCACCAATCTCCATCCCTTGGGAAGGTTTGCAAGCCAAAAAGTCTGAATAAGTCTCACATAAGGCAGATGTCAATTGATGTTTTCGTCTGTTTGTCTGTCTGTCTGTCTGTCTAGAAAGCTTGGTGCAAGATGTACATTTTCTGAATGAAAAAGAAAATGGTCCTACAAGCAAGAAAAATGATGTATAAACGAACACATCTAGCCACTTTGTGTTTGTCGTGAATGATATAGTGTACTTCGACTAACGGAACATAAAGGTTCGTGATTGGTCGATCCTTTACCCCCACTACCGGCTTGACGTAGAGGCGGGAATCTCTCAACCAATCGTGAACGTTAATGTTCTAGCCGCTCTTCATCCTCCGTTAGCTGAAATACACTATTGCAAATTAGTAGTATTTGCAATAAAAATAAGTTACTCAACTTGTAGATTTCTCTTATTATTATGGATCTGAAATAAGCTTTTAGCCTCGGAAGTCATGGGGGTGATAAATTTTGTGTTTGATCTGTTCTTGAGTGAATTTGTTTCAGGGCAAAAGGGGGGGGGGTATGAATTACCCAGCTGTAGGCCTACTCGAACTCAGTACCGTATGCCGCACGTAAGTGAATGCTGTTGAACTGCTGTGGACAGATGAGTCTGAAGAACTGATATGTATGAGTTCTTGGTCTGTTTTAGGTTGGGATTTCTCTAATTGATTGATATCTTGTTGTTGATATCTTGACATCGGTGGTCATAGATAGTTCCTCATTTCCGACTTCATGTGCAATAATACCAACATCAAAAGAAAATTGATTTTGTAAGTTTTAGTCTAATTTCACAATAACGTGCAATTATCTGTATTACTAATTTTCGTTTTTACAACGAAACCGTTAAGGTTTGATTTACTGGTCTTACAGGTCCTTATATCGGCCTCGTTGCATTGAACACAAGGATTCGTGTTGGTATTCTCAAAGTCCGATTTCCGATTTCCGATCTTCTTTTCGAGTCCCGACACGACGATTTGAGTATTTGGCGGTTGCTCACTGGCGTTCTGACCACGTTGGCGCCTCGAAAGTGACGAGGTAAGAAAAGAAATGTTATTTCTCCAGTTGTTGTGTGCGTTTTGCTGCTAAACGGGGGATGGAGGGGCAGGCGAGCTGTTAGGGCCATATCGTGGTCACGCCCGAGTGAGCGAGCTGAAAAGAAGCGTTTTTTTATTAGCTTTTCCACCGGTGTCCCCGCGATGGTTACCCGTCGCGTTAATCACGAAGGGTGCTTTAGGTGACCAATGTGTGGCCACATCTAGCCCTCAATCAGTTTGTTTTGATAATCAGAAGAAAAGTGTTGTGTGCATTTGAATTCTCTGATGTTCTAATTCCTGTTCCGGTCACTCTCATTTTCAGACATGTTTGACTTCATAAAACTGTGGGATTCAGCAAAGCTAGCTCATGAGCTAAGGCAGGCCGGGCTCGAGAATGCTCTTGTTCAGAAACTAGAAGGTTAGTATTTGAAGTTTTAATCTAATTCGCAGCTATTGCTGAAGCGAAAGTTGCACTTTGATTTTACTCAAGTGATGGCCAATTTTCAAAGAGTTAAAGTTGGACATGGACTCGATAGTTGGCTGATCAATTAACCTTTGTTCAGTGCTTACTTGTTTAATGTCCTCCTTTTTTAAAAGACAACTGTAGAAAAGGCTTCATCTTGACCATTCTTTTTTATAAGTTTTTATAATATTGTTCAATATTGTCAGTTTCAGCCTATGTTTTTCCTTAACACATTTGTTATGTAAGTGGTGGCACAGTCATTAGTAATGGGGATTTTCTGTCACAAGTGTGAATGTATCATTAATGGTGGAATTGATGAGTTCGATTGTCACCTGAAACTGAGAGGACACAATCCCCCTTTCTTTTGCTCTGCGGGGAAATGTGATGAAGCCAGAATCGAACATAAGTCCTCTTTTATACGGCATTTGAGAACTTACCATGTGGGAGATATTCATAGTGATTATCATGACAGTGATAATGATGAAGGAGAAGACCTTCATCAAGAATTAGATGATCAAGAATTTGTAGAGCCAAATCAAGAAGTTCGTCACCAAGAGGATGACAATGTGAGTGTCAGGTCTGTTGAAGAAGAACAGCAACAGCAAACAGAAGATGAGTTGGAAAAAATTGCAGCAAGATATACTATGGACTTAAAGAAAAATGGAAATGTCACTGATGTGGCCATAGATGCAGTCATTCAAGAAACAACTACTCTTCTTGGGAAGGTTCTGAAATTTGCAGTGGAGAAAATTCGTACAGCACTGAATCAAGAAAAGGGAAAACCTTTAGCAGACAGCACTATTGAAAATAGCTTAGACATTTTTATTGGAGATCCCTTCTTCCGCCTCCAGACAAAGGAGGAACGGCTTTTATACTACACCAAATTTTTTGGTTATATAACACCTGAGCCAATGTTTGCTGGAAAATACAGGTATGAGAACAGGTTTGATAAAAAGAAAAGGTGTACTATCCAGAAACAAATACCATGCACCTTTCAGCAAATCAGTATGATTGAGACACTCACTGCAATTCTGAACAACCCCATTCTATTCAAGATGATTCATGAAGAGAAGAGGAGTAGTGATGGGAAAATTAGATCATACCTGGATGGTAAGAAAGGCCGGTGTCACCCTGTTATTGCTAAGTATCCAAACATTATTAGATTGGTCTGGCATGGTGATGACTATGAAACAGTAAATGCTGAAGGGGCAAAAACTGTGATACACAAACTTGTTGCATTGCACTTTATGATTCAAAATTTACCTCCCGAAGAAAATGCTAGACTTCGTGCCTTGCATCTCCTCTCCTATGCCTACAGAGTAGATATGACTCCAGGCCAAGGTATAGACGTCCTACTTGAACCCTTGTTCAAAGAGCTGGAGCAACTTCAATCCGAAGAGGGAGTCCCAATAATGGCATGTGGTGATCCATTTGTTCTAAGGGCCATTCTTGTTGGCTGCATTGGAGATGCTGCTGCTGCGCATGAAATGCTGGGTCTGATGCCCCCATCAGCTAACTGTTTTTGTTGGCTGTGCACAGTTAACAGAAAAGACCTACATGCTGATATTTTTTCTCGCGGTGAGAAGAGAACAGCAAATTTGCATGACTCTCATCTTAAAGCCGTAGAAAGACTCGGACTTCCAGCTAAGAAATATTATGGCATCGAGAGGAGGGCTGCCCTTATCACAAGGTCTAAATTTGCTGACTTTCCAGAATCGTTTATTCGAGACTGTATGCACGATATTTTGAAAGGCATTGGAGCAATGGAAATTAAGCTGTGCCTCCACGAGTACGTGGCAAAGAAGAAATATTTTGATGTAGATTTCCTTAACCTTCGCATTAATACTTTTGTCTACGGGCCAGCTGATTCAAAAAATAAGCCAACAGGGAATTTTTCTGAAACAAGTTTGAGTACTATAACCAGCTATGGTCTCAGACAATCAGCTGCCCAAACTTGGAATTTCATTCAAGTCTTCCCATTTTTGTTTGCAACTGGAACCAAAGTACCTGCTAATGATCCTCATATGAGGTTAATAGTGCTCTTAAAGAGGATGTGTGAAATAATTTTCAGTCCTGTATTGAGTGAAAGTGATATTGAAGTTTTGGAAGATCTAATATTTCAACACCACTCTCTCTTCTCTCTGCTGTACCCTCCGAATCAGGGCAATGAAGAGGCAGCTGGTAATGAAGAGGCAGCTGGTAATGAAGAGGATGGTGAAGATGATGGTGAAGATGATGATTCGGAAGTGGATGATCCAGGGACGGAGGGAGCACAGGAACAGATAGATGCTTCCAAGAAAAAGAAAAAGAAAAAAAAAGTTATCAGGCCCATCAACAAACACCATCATATTCTGGAGTATCCTGACATCATGAGGGAATATGGGCCAATCGTGAACTACTGGTGCATGAGGTAATTTTTGAAAAGGGGAGACCCTTACTGTGTCATGACAGTAGAAAAGCTACACATCCATCTATCTATCTATTGCACTTACTTTGTGAATATTTGCTAAGTTGATGATGCTTTTTTGTTGCAGAATGGAGGGGAAATATGCTCTTCCTGAACGCTATGCGTCTATTTGTGGTAACTTCAAAGATCTACCTGCGACTCTGGCGGACTTACATCAAACAAAACATGCTGCTGACTTCATGGATTGGACATGTCCAGTTCGAGAAGAAATTACCTTCTCCTTAGGCCAAGTGACCTCCATTCAAGATATTGGGCATCGTGATTCATTTCAGCTAGCTGGCATTAATGATGATACAGTAATCGAGAAATTAGAGTCTTTAACAGTTGGTGGTTTTACGTATTCCCCAGATCTTTACGTTGTGCTTCCTCTTCAAGCTAACAATATGCCTTTGTTTGGACGCATTCTGTTCCCTTTGCGTGCTGATGGAAAGATGTATATCGCCTTTGAAGATACTGAACTTGTGTCCTACAGTCATCAATTTGGAGCTTATCTCATTAAGGATTTGTGTGATTCCCCTCTGAAAGTGCTGCCTTTGAAGAATCTTCCACCTTGCCGTCCCATGAGTTCTTGGAAACCCTACAAGTCAACCTCTCTCTATCTGTCCCCACGCACCTCTACATTCTCAGACTTTATCCCTCCTGATGATGCTCAGATTTAAAGTTCTGATGCAGATTGACCTCTTTCTCAGTTTATTGTGTTGTACATCTTTAAATCTGAAATTTTGTATTGAAATTTAATTTTAAATGAATCATGTATTTCATATCACAAATTACTTCTTTCTGCAATATAATTTGTATCTTTTAACCACATTCTAAATACGTTGTAATTGTGTTGCAAATATTTTATTTAATCTTTCTGATAAGGTACCTGCACTGCATGGGTTTAAAATTAATCTACAACCATTTTTTCCTGGTGTGGTTGTGTTTGTTTGATTTTCTTATGTTTCCTTTTGTTTTATAGAAAAAGGGATTGCAGGGCGACATTTTGGAAGGTTCGAAAAGATGGATGACCTCGGAAATTTTGGATTCTCACTTGGTGAAATTTGGGATTTAGAAATGACTCTGCCGAACCTTGAGCTGAGTGCTAAAGACAGTTCAGATGAGGTGACTTTGAACACTACTACACCAGTCATTACACAATCTGTAAGTAAACCTTAAGAATTGAAGAGACTTTTTAACTATAATTAACTTTTTGGTCTGTTTTTAAATTAAAATATAATTGGCATACCTTTTTCTTTTTCATAATTCATAACAGGATCCTCAGTTGTCTGAAGAAATGTCACATGGAAGTGTTGCCAGTCCAAATCTAAATAGTACGGTAAGCTACAGTAGTTTCCTCCATTTTTTCCCTCTGTCATTTAAGTCAACATTGCCGATTCTGAGTATCCCTAATTGCTCTTCCAGGAGAGTGTCACAATGGATTCAGAAGAGGAAGAAGTAAGTATTCATTTGAAGTGCAGGTACAAATTTCCTTTCTAGGCCTACACATAATGTTATTCTTTACAGATGGACCCTGAGTGCAAGACAACAATTCTGAAGTATGTCTCTGAGGAAGTATTTGCTGAAATGTCTAAAATTGATAAAGTGCAATTTTTTAATAGAATAGAGCACTATGAACATCTTGTTACAAAAAAAGGTACTTGTAAAACGTCTGACATAAGTTTGTAAGTTAAATCAACTTCTACTCTAATTTTTGTGTCATCTTGTTTTTGGCAGGCTTTGAAAATTTACCACGGCCTACATATACAGTCTCATGCATTAGGGAAAAAATAGTCTCACAAAAGAAACCCGCCAAGAAAACTGGTCCCAAAGCCAGGACTGTAGTGGGAAGC